GGGGGGGGGGGGGGGGGGGGGGGTATGGCTGGGTGAAGGGCAGCCACATGAGATTGATCGTGACATTAGGAAACAATCAAGGAACTTATTATTGAGGAATTGGAAGAGTGTGCACGTGCGGTAGAAGGCAAAGTTGATGATTGCCGCTGAACATCTAGGACAAATCGTGTGCATGTATCAACGGACGATTTGTTTGCTCTCGGCACTTACCATTTAGAGAGACACCGGGATTTATGGTCAACCAATGTACCGTCAGCCGACTTCATGCAATGGCCACCCACTGCCACTGGGAGTCAGGGGTGAGTCTATTTGGTTCCACGTCTAATTACTCCGCACCTTCCTCGCCCATCCACACACCCGCCTGTGGGGTGACCTCGCTTAATTAGTTGGCTGCTGACCTCTCTGCCAGACCACCATGCTCAGGAGTAACAATACCGATTATATGATTGAGGAACATCTAAAGCATGAAAAATAAAATAAAGCAAAACAAAAAAATAATTATGCAACACATGGGTAATGCCACACAGAAAGCTATGGAGGCCAAAGTAATGATTGGAAAGATCACAGGATGGGGGAAAAGGATTTATCACATCGTGTAAGCATTCACTCCCACAAGACGCCTGCAGGCAAACTACATAGTTAGCAGAGTGACCTTTCACACTTTTTTTACACCCTACATCCCTTGGACACCGCTAGTGGGTCACTTGTAGGTGTTTAAACATGCGGATGAAAGCGTCATTAATCATCTGTGTAGTGTGATTGTCATCGCATGAGCACGATGTCTCACTTGTACTACTCTGAATTCGACTACAGCGCCTTCTCCAGCTTCAACTCCGGGTTAGCTGCTCCTGTTGCTCCTTCTTATTCCTACGAGTCCCTGTATGTAGCTAACCCGCTACAATACACTGTACTACACCTATTTCATGAACCTTCACCCCTTCCACCACTTGCAACTTCACTTCTGTTACCCCGAGTGGTGTAGCACCGAATTCCTTTTATTTATCATCAGCATCCGAGAGCACTGTGAGCTCTGCACCAAAACCCTTCGTTTTCAGAAACCCAGGGGGCAGCTACAGCTACCTCAAATCCGGAGCACACCTAAGTGCAAACATCTGTTGGCGAAAGGCCGGTAAGCAAGGGAGGGAAGCGTGCACCAAGTGAGCAGGAAATAGAGCAAATCTGCAGGAAAATGTCTAGATACGTCACTGATAAGGCCACATAGTTTCCTTATAATATGAAGATTTTCTTTTCACACTGTATTGTCCCTACCGAATATTATTTTGAAATGTGTAATAATAACAAATAATAGTAATAATAATAATAAAGTTTTCAGACCATAAGATCAATATCAATTCACTCAGTCTGCCAGAGAGGTCAGCAGCCAAACAATTAAGCGAGGTCACCCCAAAGGCGGGTGAGTGGATGTGCGAGGAAGGTGCGAAGTAATTAGACGTGAAACCAAATGCCGACTCCCCTGGGAGTCAGTATTTAGGTCCACATCTCCTTACTTCCACCTTCCTCGCACATCCACTCACTCACTAGTGAGGTGACCTATCTAAATTGGTTAAGTGGTGACATTTCTGGCAGTCTCAGTGTACTGATATTGATTTTATGTATTGAACACTTTATTATTATTATTGAAACTAGAAGTGTGAAAGGTCACTCTGTTGACTAGTTTGCCTGCAGGCGTCTTGTGAGAGTGAGTACTTACACAATGTGATAAATTTTCTCCCCTTTCCTATGATTCCCTAATGGTTACTTCATTCTCCACAGCTTTCTGTGTAGCAATTATTTACGTGTTTCATATTTTTTAATTTGCTTTATTTCATTTTTCATGCTTCAAATGCAGTATTGTTACACGTAAGCCCAGTGGTCTGACAAAGAGGTCTCCAGCCAACAAATTAAGGGAGGTCAACCCACATGCGAGTGAGTGACTGTGCGAGGAAGGTGCGAAGTAGACTTGGATCTAAATTGACTCACCCACTGCCACTCACCATCACCGACGACGGCGATCCGTCTATGAAAACGAAGGGGCGGTCGGTCAGTCACTCGCTCTCAGCGCCTACTCATTCCGATGACGGCTCGGTCAAGCAATGTATTAACACTGAAGTGCAAACATGCACGCCTACACTCAGACACACACACACATACACACATACATTCAAAGCAAGGTGCTCCACAAGTGAACCAGTTCGAAAGCGCCAATCTGAACATTGCTGACATAAGTTCTTCAAAAAAGCGAATTGCCAGAGCAAATGAACTGGTTATCAACGTATATTTTTACAGGAATTGAGAAGTTCTTTTGTAAAAGAGAACGTTTGTGAAACGTAGACGACCATGGAAGAAGTCCACTTGGAGTTATGCATTGACAGGAAAGCTGGACGGCTTCATTACGAGATAGTTTGTGCCTTTTGATCCAGAAACAGCTGACTCCTACTCATCACATGTGCGCTCGCTTGAGATCGGTCAAAACAAGTCGAAGTTAGGGCATGGCTAGAGCGAAAACTGTTGGTAACATCTATAGCGTATGGTAGCTTTTCTTGACTGGCCCTATTGCTCTTTTTTCCTTGAACTTTCTAGTACTTACACATAGGAGCTGAAGTTTACTCTTTAGTTTATACGCCTTTTGTTCTCTGAACTCCACATCAAAGATTAAACAAAAATCGAAAGAATCACAGTGCAGCAAGCCTAAAATTTTCTTTTTGCTTTTAAGATCTACCATCGTTTTCACTCTGCTAAGAGTATTTAATAACCCATGTAGAATTGCTCGAAAACCGCACTTTCGAGTGCTTATTTTGGCCAACCTTGCGCAAATAGCTGTATGTTGAAGAACCAAAACTGCTTCTAACACCGCAAAGTCATGGCCATAGCTTACGTCAAACGGTAATGACGCATTGATACATTCACATTCTGCTTTGTTGGTCAAAAGGTCACATAGAGTTTCATTAATATTCTCGTTCTCAAACAAAAAATCATAAAACATTACAGGAAAATGATGACTTCGAGCAGCTGATGTGAATTCCAACAACGGCTTTCTTTCATACGCCACTAATCGTCATTGATGATTGGAGCCAGAAATGCAAAATTATCATCAAATGAGTAAACTTTGAGCCATCTCATCACCACACGTTGAGGTAGAGCATAGCTAAAGTATTGCGAGAGTAGCAAAAGTCAATTTCGCCACGAAAACTCCGCCGACTGGACTTTGTCTCTCTTCTGTACAATCTTTTAGAATATGGCCATTCTTTCAATGTTTTCTAATGGTGCAGAACATTTTCCGTGGAACACGCGATCTATAAGTTGCTGATCATGTTACAGTAGTGTTCGTTTTTTTCTGCTGCAGCGCTTTTTGAAGACGTATAGGTAAGAAACACCGGTTGACTATCCAGGGGCCATTACTCACTGGTCGTACTTGGGTTACTACACCGTTTGCTGTATCGATTGACTTCTAAAATTTGATTTATGCCATCCCAATATGACTTTTGCTCATTTCGTACTCATCAACACTCAGTAATTCACATCTTGTAGAATATTCAAAAGCATTAGCAAGCGAAAAGGGAAAAGGTTACACTGCAAAACTTTACACTGGAGTAAGATATTGATTGCAGGCTTCTTTCTCATTAATATTATATATTACACATTCCCACTTCTCAGCAGGCAGGATGAGCAGGATCAGCGTCATTCAACATGCTGGAAGGAGTCTAACAATAAGGCCAGAGTCTCAAGAAAGACGCAGAGGTAGTAAAATTTCGGAGTTTCAAGAACCGTCAGTGAATGAAGACCAGGGACGCCGTCGCCTATGCCACGGAATCTAAACCCAGGTATGGGAAACGTCACGCGACTTTGTGATGGCCGTGGACCAGGGCTGTTACGTCCTTGATCACTCGAGACGTCAAATCAGAACCATGACATTCGTCAGCAGATCGTCAAATTACGGAAGCTTCAGACAAGGAAATGGCATTCCTCGTGTCTCCCGAATTAGGAGGATCCACCGGTCTACATTGACCCGCGGCAAGAGGGATTGTGCCGCACGCTTGAACAAATCAGATCAACGGGACACAGGTGAGTCAGATTATACCCTCATCTGCGGATAGCTTTATCATAATCATATTGCTGAAAAAACGGACGATAGACTTTATATGCATCAACCGAAACTTTTTCAAGATTCGCTATCTCGTTCGACTTCTACTTACTTGAAATCGTGGTGGCGTGTTGAATGCATATGTGGCTTTAAAATGAATCCCGGTGACTAGCAGATGTACAAACGAATAAACTCGTTCTTCCAGACAATTCTTGTATCAGAAGGAATCGAAGGTTCAATTGGCCTGGGCGACTATCAGTGTGATATTCAATAAACGGGCCCATGCGTGTGGTAGTGCGCCCTCGGGAATCCGAAATCCACTATTACTAGTTTGAATGCACCTCCAACCATGAAGTCCATGTCCACACTCTTTATAGTTTTCGCTGAGTTGGTGTCTGTAGTATTTGCCTCCTGGTGAACCTAGCGAAACTACAGGGTGTCCAAAATTATTTGCGCCAAAGTTCAGTAATTTTTAAGGTAGAAATAATCTATCAAATTCACATTACCTGTTATTAATTAGTGGCATAAGAAGGTTTCCTTGCAATATGCATGGTTGCTGATGTGGAACTCCCATTATCTTTCAGATGGAGGAGGCTCATTCAATGCCACTTGCAATCATTGACGCGCGAGAAGTGGAAGGGCGTCATGAAATTCTTTGGGATTTTTCTAATAACCGTGTAGGAGGCTATTAAACGATATAGAAAAGAAGATTGAANCAGAGACAAACCAGGAAAGATAGAAAGGTAGAATGTCTCTGAAGATAGGACTATTAAAATGGTCCGTATGCCAATCGGTCGGGATCCTGGGTGACCCATCAAAAGGAAGTCAACGGGCATGGCTTATCCGAGTTGTCCCAATGGAAGAATGTCATGCAGGAGCTTCACTGCCGTTCCTATCGTATGCAGAAATTTCGCTTCATTTCCGATCTCAACAGATACTGCAGGGCCAAAAATGCAGAAAGTCGAAAGTGGTGACACGCAACCCTTCGACGTTTTCTCTGGTCAAGAAATTTTTTACGATAAAGCCATTCCTCAACAATCAAAACGTTCACGTTCCGGAAAGAAACATCCAGTGTGTAATATCTCACAAAAATGTTGTCATCAGAACAGTAAAATGATGTTTTTTGAGGAAATCACTGGCAAGGGTAAGCCGCTCGTGGTTTCTCCGGTGCAGGCGTGAAAATTGACCAAGCCCAGTACTCAAACGGCGTACTAATAGAAGTAAATAAAACATTGATCCGACTACGTTTTCTGAAACATCTCATAGTCCTTCCAGCAGGACGCTATTCCAGCCCACAGAGCCAAGTTTGCCCGCGAGTGGTGCCGACGACAGCTGCCCGACTTCATTGGAATGGTCATCCTATTTTCCAGAACTTGACTCACTTGAATCCCACGAATGGTCCCTGATTAGAAGAGACCTGTCGAGTTTGCAGTCCCAGCTTGGAGTCCTAGAATGCAAAAGCTGGAGGACGGCTGGGAAGAAATGGAGAAGGATACCTGCGTGCCACATGCGATCAAGTCGAAAGCAAACTTTGACTTCTATTCGCGCTCACGGGGGACATTTTGAAATGCGACTTTAGCATGTTGTAGCACATAGTGTTAGCTAGCGTGCATAGAAATTCGCAGTTGAGAAGTTTCAAATATATTGTTATAAATCGGCGCAAATTGTTTTGGGACACCCTGTACAAGCATACGTTCTGGGGCAAAGAGCAAACAGCGAGAGACGCTTTCTGGGCTACTAAATGTTGATGACCTTTGACCAATTGATGCTTTTGAGGCGGCTTAACTGGATTTGTGATATTGCAACATCCAAGAGAATGAGCTCGCGAGTACTGCAATCCATAGTTCTAGAATGGCATTGGAAAGATTTCCATCTAAGTGGGTATGCCACCCCTCACTTAGGTCGCCTCAACAACAGCGGCCTCCCTGCACCTCATTGCACTCTTGTTCCAGAGTTTTTGCATTTTTTTCAAACGTTCAGTTGTTTGCGTGTTTCTTCTTCGTTTATGTTTTATTCGCCTTCGAAGCGGCTCTTGGTCAGGAGACCTGCAAGATTTTGATAAAAGCTAACGTATGCTCGGAAGTTCAAATCTAATAAATTGTCATGCATACAAGTGAGAGGCATTAATTTAGAGGATTCAATTGGGTGTATCAGCGCTGCTGATACTGAGTTCCGCCAAGGAACGTAGGCTGATCAGCGTTGATTAGTGTTGCTTACCATTAGCTTATTTGAAAAAATGTTTTGTATGATAAATAATTTTCGATCACTGGTGATCATAGGCTTCTGTTTCACTACTTTTATAAAAAAATATTTTATGACTATCTCTTCTCAGCCCATCAGTGATTCGAGTTTCACGAAAGCAGTATTATACCGTGAAGTTGAGTTTGCATCGAACCTCACTAAAAGAGCGACCACCACTTTTAAATGTAACACGCGGCGTTCTACAGGATTCTGTTTTTATTTATCCGATGAGGAGGATATCAACCAGTTCCAAGCGAATAACTGACCATATCCGGAACCACTAATAATTCACCAGCAATAGCTTCAACAATCGAGAAAGAGTGAATATGTCTGCAAAGGGTGTGGTATAAGAAGAGGTTGCGGAATCAAACAGCTACAGAGATAGTCATAAAAATAACATTTGATGACTATCTCTATCTCCTATCTATGTTTTGGGAGTAATGGAAGGCAAAAATGCTGTTATATTGGTATAAGGCGAAAAATGCTAGATTCACAAAGCAGGCCACTTTATCGAAATCAATGCAATATTGCACCTACACTGTTTGAAGGTCAGACTATGATAGGTACCATCAAGACAAAGGAATGACGAAATACGTTCTGAGTGACTTCTGAGTAAGCCAGTGGACGTGATGGTGTTAAGCGGCCCAAGTGTAATAATCTTCACATTCGTAACGTAACCTCATTTCCACGCATATATTGCGTTTCGAGGAGGACAGAATTATTGTGCACGCAAGCCATAAGGCTCAATCCCTAGCCGTTATGATATGGGCTGTTGTGAATGACGGCCAGTGAATGCTGCTGACTGGTCTAGAGTAGTGAGATTATCTAATAATCTTACATACTCTAGAAGTACTCAGGTTCACAAATATCTTCTCAAAAAATCACTTGCATGACTCAAACCTGGATTTATCTTGGAATTTGGCCGGACAGGAAAATATGCAGTGAAGGACACTGGTCTTTAGTGAAGCTCTCAAGCAAAGCGATCTCTTTGTTTGAGCCGAGCACCATTAGAATAGTAGAAAGTTTACTACGTGTTTCAAAGAGTCCTGCAAACTAGTCTACATATAAACAAGGCTCCAATCAACTCAATGTTGCTGAAAAAAACAAGCACGAGTTGCTTTCTTAGCAATCGATACATTTGTGTTAGATCAGAGTGAAATGAATCGTACTGAGCACATCTAACCTCTCTAGTTCTCCAAAACTTCATCTGAAAAAGGTGACTTTGCTGATAGGCGCTACGCTTGCGTGTTGTTGAATTCTCAAGGGCGAATGAAATTCGGGAACCGAATCTCTGAAAAGTATTGTTGGTTCGCTGATCGTATACTCTGAGAATAAGTCAAGGAAATTTTATTAATAAGTGCTGCGAAAACAATGATGCTCCCTTGTACCGACTCAGTGACAATGAATCGTTCAGCAATTCCGTAGCGAATAGGTCTAACTCTATGAAAGTTCCGTTGTGAAATGAAGGATTGGACGTAGGCAATCCGACGGTATATTACGCCTGGTGGAATGTGTTGAGTAATGTTAGAAAGAAGAGAAAGAAGTGTGTTTTTATTGAATCCAGCTGTTCAATCTGACTGTGGTCACCAATCACTCTGTAAGTATGACACTAAATTATGAAAAATAGTGGGTGAGTTCATACCTTGTATTGAATGGGAAACTTATTAATCTTGTCGCAAGGCTAGAAGTCAAAGTCAAAGTGACCACTGGAAATAAGACTCATATTGCTAGATGTATATCCTGTTGAACACTGATTCAAAACCACCTTAACATCCTAGCGTTGACTTCGATCTGTTCCCTGAAGTGGATGAACGGTATACCAAACGAAGTTGTGAGGGGATTTTGAATCAGCGCTTAACATGAGCAAACACTTAAGACATGGGCGCAAAGGTCATAGATTGGGTTTTTTAGGACGCGCAGATCGATTTTATGAAGACTTTGTCTTCGCATTTTTCGGGGCTTCTTTCTTGAGAGCAGGAGAACCTTTGAATTAAGATTTTAGCCCCTTCTTATTGATGTCTGAGGTCACCCGGTTCTTACCTAAACAGTACGATAATCGCTACTAACTCATTGCTTTCATGCACACCACGAGCTTTGTGCGATCTCTGATGGGAATGCACACAGTAGTTTTAGCCGCTCGAAGAAATCTTAAAGAGTCATACAGTAAGTCCTTAGCAGCATCCCTCTTCATTCCTGTTATGTCTTGCCTTATCGTCGATGCGGGTGTAGACTCCTGAGTATTCTTCAAAATCATGTAACTATCAAGTCTGTACAACTTCCACAAAAGCAATCAAGGGTGATTGCAGTCTCACCTGGTATCATGAGTCTAATTCAGCCCATTGACGTTTATTTTATCTTGTCATTTGGCAATATGTTCAAAAAGATCACCATATACCTAGTAGCTCATGACTCATTGTGTTGGGGCATCTGTGATCTCTATTAGTGAAGTAGCTGAACTTGTATAGTACTGATCTTTCCGGTTTGACCAGGAGATCTGGCGGGCTGGAGCAGTATATAAACTGTAACTTTGTTGTACATTTATCATTCACGGCTTCTAATAAATATTCCTGCTCTTCGCGATCAACCAAGGCCGCAACAACTGGCGATCAGGACAACGACTTCAAGGACTACGCTGCCATCGCCGGAATGCCAGAAGACCCTCCAGTGAAGGACCTGCTGCAGATGATGGCCGGCTAACAGAAGCTGCTCGTCGACCTGCTCCAGAAGATAGCATCATCTACAACCGCACCGCAAGAGACTCTGTTCGACCGGATCTCGAGGAGAATTGAAAAATTCTCATATGATGCGGATCAAGACGACTACTTCGATCTATGGTACAGCCGCCACAAGATCATCTTCGAGGTCGACTGCCAAGGGATGGAAGAAGTGAAGAAGACACGCTTGCTCGTCTCTGCTGTTAACGCTGCAAGCCACACTCGCTTCGTTCACCACATCCTGCCCAAGGAGCCACGAGACTTGAACTGGACGGCCACGGTCGAAACGCTCAAGATGCTATTCGGCACCAAGAAAAGCATCTTTCGTCGCCGTTTCGAATGTTTCCGGATGAAGTTTTCGCCGATTGAAGACTTCTAGAAGAACTTCGTCAACTCTAGGCACGCGCACTATAGGCCAACTTCAAGGACATCAGAAAGAATACGCTAGAATGCCTAGCCCTTGTGTTCGCCTTCCAGGCTCCGGAGCTGGCCGACTACCGCGTTCGCTTCCTTCGCAAGCTGGACGAAGACGAGAGCACTACTGTCGATGATCTAGCCGAGGAGTACCACGCCTGGAAGTCGGTCGAAGACGACTCCAAAGTCGTCGAAGCCGCCATCTCACTGGAAATTTACACTGTCCAGAAGAGGAAGGAACTACGTCTCCTCGCCGCAACCGAGCCCCGACTTCCGCCATCACCGCCTCCGATCTGCCAACAGCAACACTGGAAGAAGGATTGCCCGCGAAACCGCAAAGCTACCAGTGCCGCTTAGGAGTCAAGGACTGCGCCACGACGTCGCACCAAGCAGTCATTACCGCGCACTTGGTACCAACGAGCCATCGGCCGCACAGGAGATGTCAAAAAAAACCTGGAAGTTCACATCTATAGAAATCCCACTCGCCTTCAGTTGGTCACTGGCGCCGACGTCACCATCATCTCTCGTCCAACCTTGATGCAACTCGGAAGCCCGCGTCTACAGAAGAATTCTGACGTCTTCGAGGTAGCCAGTGATCTACCATTGCCAATTCACGGAAGATTTGACGCTGATTTCGCGGTAATGGACAACCAAGGAAAGGCTCATCCTGGAAAAGGCGTCTACTACGTCTCCGACGACAACGACCTTTGACGTCACATGGATCGAGCAAATCTCGGACTTCAACTCAGTCCTGAAGATATTCAATATTCAGAAGGTGCAGACGCTCGACTAGGACGCAATTCGAGACAAGACGATCGCCAAGCTGAAGCACCACTTCGCGGATGGAACTTGGACGCTATACCAAAACCAAGGCGACGCTCTACCTCAAGCCCGATGCTCACCCGGTTTTCATCAAGAAGAGACCGGTTCCCTACGCCTCTTTACCGCTTCTCGACGCTGAGATCGACCGACTTGTGGCACAGAACGTCATCCCCGCCGTCGACCATTCACCAAGGGCCGCGCCAATCGTCGTTGTGAGAAGAGCCAAAGGATCCCCGCCGACTTTGCGCCGACTTCTCGACTGGACTCAATGACGCACTGCTGTTGCACCGGCACCCACTGCCCACCGCAGAGGACGTCTTCACCAAGCTCAACGGCGGAACCGTCTTCTCCCAGATCGACTTCGCCGACGCCTATCTACAGGTCGAAGTCGACGACGACTCCAAGGAGCTCCTCACAATCAACACGCATCGAGGGCTCTACCGCTACAATCGCTTGCCGCTTGGAGTCAAATCAGCACCCGGCATCTTCCGGCAAATTATCGACTCCGTGATCTCTGGACTCAACGGCGTTGCTGCCTACCTCGACGACGTCATCGTCACCGGCCGCACCCTTTCCGAGCACAACGCCAACCTGGAAGCCCTCTTTTCAAGGATATCCGCATACGGCTTCCGCGTCCGCGCCGACAAGTGCCACTTCGTGATGACCCAGCTGACCTACCTCGGGAACGTCATCACCGCTGCTGGACGCCGACCCGATCCCAAGAAGATCGATGCCATTATTCAGATGCCAAAGCCGAAGGATACCGCCTAGGTCCGGTCATTCTTCGGTCTCATCAACTACTATGGAACGTTCGTTCCAGATATGCGTCAGCTGCGTGCACCGCTCGACGCACTACTCGAAAAGGACACTCCATTCGACTGGAACTCCGAATGCGACGCAGCTTTCGAACGCGCCAAGGAAGTGCTCGCTTCGGACCTGCTCCTTACTCACTACAACCCAGATCTACCGATCGTCGTCGCGGCCGACGCTTCAGACTATGGAATAGGAGCAGTCATCTCCCATCGTTACTCAGATGGATCAGAGAAAGCCGTCTATCCCGCAAGTCGCTCTCTCAGCGCTACATAGAAGAACTACAGACAAACAGAAAAGGAAGGGGCTCGCCCTCATCTACGCCATCCGCAAGTTTCACCGCTACATCTATAGAAGCCACTTCACTCTTCTCATGAACCACAAGCCACTTTTGGCCATTTTCGGATCGAAGAAAGGAGTTCTATCATACTTGACGAACCGTCTACAACGCTGGAGACTCACGCGCCTACGATTTTGACATCGAGTATCGGAGCACTACCAACTTCGGACAAGCAGACGCACTCTCTCGCCCCATTTCCGCCCAGTCGCCACCGGAAGAAGACCTCATAACAGCCACAGTCGCCAGGGACGTGAACGCCATCTTTCGCGACAATGTTAACCGTCTACCGGTCACTGCTGAACATGTAGCACGTGCAACCGCAGGGGACGACTGCCTACTTCAAGTCCTGGACCACGTCCTTCACAACCACTGGCCGAAGAAGCTACCACCAACCGTTGCCAATTACGCCCACCTGCGTAACGATCTCTCAACGCAACAAGGACGCCTACTCTTCGGGAGCCGTATCATCATTCCGCTCTCACTCTAGCCAACTGTCATGAGAGCGCTCCACCAAGAACATCCAGGAATAAATAGGATGAAGACTCTTGCTCGCAGCAACGTATTCTGGCCGAAGATCAACGACGACTTGGAGAAGCTCGTTCGCACCTGCGCCGCCTGCCAGGAGAGCACTAAGTTACCCACCAAGAACACACTCTGTTCGTGGTTTCGCCCGGATGCGCCATGGAGCCCTATTCACGTTGATTTCGCTGGCCCGATAGAGGGAATTTTTTACGTAGTGGTCATCGACGCTTTCTCCAAATGGAGGGAAATCATACCAATGACTTCCTTTACCTCTATTGCAACGCTAAGGAAACTTCGACGTCCATTCGTGCAATTCGGGCTTCCTCAGACAATCGTCTCAGATAACGGAACTCAATTCACCTCTGCTGAGTTCCACGATTTTTGCCGAATCAATGGAATCAAGCACGTCCGGTCGCCATCCGGTCGCCACCGCTTCATCCTCGGACAAATGGACGAGCTGAACGCTTCGTCGACACATTCAAACGCTCAATCGGAAAGATTAGGAGCAATGGACTGGCCGTGGACACTCTACACATTTCTCTTCACTTATAGGAGCACGCGGTGTACCGCATTACGATGGACGATCTCCCGCAGAAAACTTCATCGGTCGACGCCTTCGCAGCACGCTGGACTTGCTGAAGTCTAACCATTCGCCTGAATCTAGGCCAGACATCGTCATGGAAATGCAGTTCAACCAAAAACATGGTTGTTTTCGCTCGCGACTCCCGCTCCGGACAACAAAGATGGTCCTCCGGACATGTTCTACGACGACATGGACGTACGCTATACAACGTGTTACTTCAAGGATCCATCTGGAAGCGCCACGCCAATCAACTTCGCCCACGTAATTCACTGGGAGAAGCAATTGATCTGATAAATGCATTCGACATACCGTTCAATTCCTCACCAGAATCGCCTTCAGGGTCATACACACTACCGTTGTCTCCAATGGCCACAACAGCCCTGCTCACGACAACAGTGACAACAATGACGACGACGACTGCCCCACCAGCGCCTCCTGCCATTGCACCTCGCCGTTCGATCCGTACTCGACGCCCTCCAGACTTTCTTCAGATTGACCCGTACGCCAAGTCGTGCCGAGACCGTCAATCCTAGGGGGGAGGTGTTGGGGCATCTGTGATCTCTATTAGTAAAGTAGTTGAACTTGTGTAGTACTGATCTCCCCGATCCGGCGGGCCGGAGCAGTATATAAACTGTAACTCTGTTGTACATTTATTATTCATGACTTCTAATAAATCTTCCTGCTCTTCGCGATCAACCAACGACATTGTTTGCGTGTACGCTATAGGCTCTATTGTATGCTCACCATTACTTGCCTGTTCTCGATCCCATGCTTCTAAATTCAGGCGATTCCCCTTTTACTATAACATGCTCTAGGTTCCTTGAAGACACAGGTAGTGCGGAGGTGGTGTAGTGGCAAGTGGCGCACTATCTCACATACATGGTCAGGGGTTAGAAACCCGGATCGATATCCGCAAGCCAACAAAGCATTCATCAATCCGGGGTCGGCTAATTGATACCAGATTGGTCTGGGAGGATAAAACACTGATTTGTGTATCGGCCACCGCGAGCCATTCTGTAGGCCACGTACGCAATCGTTACGCCACCACGATTCTGGATGGGAGTCGAGTGCGGGACGCATCCCTCAGAGACTGATCGACGCCGAAAACTTCATCATTCATTCTCTATCCACCATTAAGATGAGTGGGAAATCCGATTGGCGGGCACCAGTGATCGTGTTGGAGCAACTTTGGTGACAGATCATTCAGCTAATCGTCGTAGCGTAAGCTACTAGATATTGGACTATTCTCTCATTCTCCTACTGTTTCTTGTGGGGCTGATATTGTTCTGAATACCCGTTCTCTTAGAGTAGCAGTAAATAGGAGAGTAGCACAGAGTAAAATCACCTATGCCAGAATCAACTGGTTGGAAAACAGTTGTGCCCAAAACTATCGTGGACTGTGCCTTTTAATGTGATTCGGAGACGACTACAAATTTCTGTTAACCATTCTTTCAGGTGTGTAATTGTCAAGGAACGGCCAGCCGCGAGTTTTTCGAATTCTTTGTCTCTATTTTGAAAAACTTCTTTGCTTCAAATATTTTGTGGTCTATCAGGTTTGCTTATGAAGTGATGAAAGTTGTCATACAATGAACGTAGTCCATATTGCAAGTGTTTGTTTATATTGAGCACTGGCCCGAAATCACCTTCATAAGTCCGTTCGGAGAACCCGCTTCCACTTCGATCCTTCCCGTCTTCGGTGAGCAAAAAGATCTCATGTAGGAACTTTTCCTTCATTGCGTAGCGCGGGTAATTCTTACTGCCTACATTCCCGTAATGCCTTTTCCATGCAGAGGAACATTGCCAAAAGTTCAAAATTTATTGTAGACCTATCTTGAAACCTGGGCAAGGTAATGCATCAAATTACACAAAGCAAACTTATAACCAGTGAACCAATTTTCTTCATGGTGTAACCCATGATGCTTCCGGAGAAAACTTTATTTTTGCTACATCAAGTTTTTTAGATATATTCTGATGTGCTTTATCGATCTGTTGCAGCTAAACCACAATGTTGTTGTATTGGGTTTTGACATAAGTTCGTAGAGTTTTTTCACAAAGGTTTATTTTAACAAAAAATAATAATTATAATAATAAATTAATCAGCGATGTATCCTCATATTAATGTTTGCAACCTCCTCCAATCTCTCGACCAATTTGTTGATGTCGTTTCGCCAAAAATTGGCCGGTCTAGTGTCGAAGAAGTTTTTTAGCCAGTTTTTAACAACCTCTTCGCCATCGAAGGTAACACAACTCATTTGGTTTGACAGAGAGTGGAAAGGTGGTAGTCGGTAGGTGCAAGATCCGGAGAGTACGGTGGATGCTGAAGAACCTTTCATTCAAGCTTTTGGAATGCTGTTTTGACGACTTGGGCACTATGGGGCCTGGCGTTGTCGTGGAGCAAGATGACTTGACCTTGTCTATCGGGTCTTTTCGGCCGATTAGCCTCACTAACACGGTTTAGTTGGGCAATGTAGACCTCCTTGTTGACAGTAGCGTTTCGTTTGAGAATTTCCCAGTGCACCATGCCTTTCCAGTCTCACCAAACGCAAATCATGACCTTTTTTGAGTGAAGGTCTTGCTTGACTCTCGGCTTCGGTGTCTCTCCTGGGGCCACCCAGAGATACACCTAAGACACCATCCTCGTACACACTGCATATGTCCTGAGCGGCTTCGGCTGCATATTGGCCTCGATGAAAAGCATATGCCGAAAATGCTGATTTTCTCCTCGTGGATATTCAAATTCTGAGCAAGAAAAAAGACGTACAACTAGGTTATCCAAAACAACCAATAAAACTTTTTTATAGAAGAGAAAGAGCCCTTTGGAATGAGTATATACACTTTGCGAAAAAACAAAGCGAACCGTTGTAAAATGACTCTAACACAAAACTCTACGAACTTATGCTACACCCAATAAAACTCGAAAATTCTGCGATTACCGCGAAGTCGCGGTTTCTTCGTCTTTTCTTCATAAATCGATCAGAGTGGAGTATCCTAGGGACTAAAGATACCATTGAACTCAGCTCGTCGAGCCCTAAGGTGATACCCTGAAGTACTGAAAATGCTTCGTTTCGGATTGCGCCATGCACTGATGGTTGTAGTGGCCGATTGGTCTCTGAGGATACAGTGTTAAGTATTCGCTTCGGGGTGCATCATGTACTCGACTTCACTCGTTACAATTATGAAAATGATTTATCGATTTTTTGGCATTCTCCAAACTTTTGAAGGCATTTTTCTCTGAGATCTGAGGAGGTGGCATTAAGGCACTGTGTTATCGTACCTTCTCACCACCGCCCCCTTCGGTAGCTCCACAACTCCTATTCAAACTGCCCAACGTCTCTTGCAGATCTGACTACCCACTCGAATAATCATCATTCGAACCAACCCCTCTTTTCGCCACTTCAGTACTCACCCACCTGTGAATCCAGCTCTCCATTCATATAGCCACTTTTCAAAATTGTTTTCGGTTTCCGCCAACACGGAACCCGCCGCCTGCGAATCCAGAGCCTCTACAGCACCTGGCCACATGCGTATACAAACACGCCTAGTAGGAAACCGCTCAGGGCAAGGAGTAAAGCAGAAAATGGTTATGAAGAGAGGATTCCATCACGGTTTGACCCATATATCATTCAATAGCATTTTTTACGTAAAATACAACAGTCTACAACTCAGTTACAGAAATGGCAATGAAAAGGGAAAAAACATAATTTCATGATTTGGGCCTTTGGGCCTGACGAAGTTTTTAAGTTTGGATAAAGAGGAAGAAATTTCGGTCTATGACAGATGTATCATAGCAGTCGTGCAGGGAACAAAGAATTGCCTACGATAATACAGGGCCTCAACGCCCCTTCCTCAGATCTTGGAGAAAATTCCCTTCAAAATTTGGAAAATGTCAAAAAAATCGACTAAATGATTTTGCTGGTGTCATATTCTCAATGAAACCTGTAGGGAGGAGTACTGGGTGCAGAGACTGTAGATGCAGTCATCTACATAGAAATGAATGTTGGAGACTGAATAAAATCGATTAATAATTCTCACATTGTAGTGAGTAAAGTCCGGGACGTGATGCGCCTCAAAGCGAATTTTGAACAGTTCATCCTCAGGGACCGGTCAGCCACTGCAAGCACTAGCGTGCACCCATGTATATTCGATCACTTTTCAGATGGGACACAAGTGCATGGCGCAATCCAGAGCGAAGAGTTTTCAACACTTTATAAGCTCATAGAGCTCGACAAGCTCAGTACAGCGATACTCATAGCTTCGAGAGTACTCTATTCTAATCCGATTTATGAGGAAAAGACGAAAGATATGCGAATTCGCGGTATCGCACGTATTTACAGCAGGTATTGTATCTATCTTGCCTAGAACTAGAAATAAAGATTTTAGAAACTCTGAAAAAAATTTTCTACCCGAATTCAGTAGCGAACGATCTTTTCTACTGTATTTTACTTAGCTGAATCGATTTCTTCTGAATAGAAAACTTGTCTTACCTGAAACTTGAGCTATGATCAAACTTGCATTTGTTAATTTTTGTAACGGCTCACGTTTTGCCTTGAACTCGAGCCATAGCCGATTTCTGGCTCTTTGGACTTTCGCTAGGCGTCCCTCATGAAATTTTCTAGAACATCTTTTCCTTAAATTTTGATTGGTATAACTCTCTCTCTCACCGAATGATCCTAGCCGATTAGCGACGAGGTAATCGCCAAACAAAATTCGCCAAACTTGCCCAGGGAGAGGGGGTGAATTCAGAGGGTAGACTCCCTGATTTTGCTGTGCTGTTCAATATACCTTCTGTATCTCGCAGACGTATCCACGAAGTATCTGGGAGACGATTCGGGCTCGCCTTCAAAAACAAAACCCCTCGTCCAAGCTTAGGGATAACCTGGCTAGTTCCCGGAGTCAACCCAACCCCCACGTCAGAACCTTGCAAGCTACACTTTGGGCAGTCATTCGCCAGAAATAGTAACACAAATGGGCCCAAGCCTAAGCTTGTCAAACCGCTTCCTTCACATTTATGATGAGTTCTCTATAGAATGACAAGGTCTTTGTCGTAAAGTTGTTGTAAAACTCATGAAGCATCCTTATATATATTGAGTAGGAGCACCCCGGTTGCCCAGGGCCTTAGATCGATTGTGCTGAACCTTCTCTAGAACCCTGCTTGCTCGCTTGGCTGTTCTTCATCTAATATTCTGCCAATCCTGTTCAGGATGACGCGAGTGAAAAGCTTAGAGATTCAAGACAGCAGGAAGATTGGGCGATAGTTGCCAATTTCGCCTGTATATCCCTTTTATACAACAACACATCTTGTTAGTTTTCCACGACGTGGGCACTTTGCAATCCGACATACCGCGTGAGAGCCTAGCCAGGGTTCTGACGATGACTGGTGGAACACTCTTAAGATGTCTTGGTTCAATCCTATCGGAACCGGGCTCCGTACAATTTTTTATCGACGTGATGGCATGTCGTCTTCCAGAAGGGAGCACTGAAGGAGCGTATACTCGTGTTGCCTAAGATGGCAGGTAGGCAGGTTGACGTGGTTGTCGAAGGTCGTAGATGACCTTCTCCTTTGCCCTTCGAGACGTAGTGACTATTCCTTCAGGACGACGAAGGGAAATCATCTTGGTCTTGTGATTGGCGAAGCTTCGTCCGTTTGCGAATGTTCTCCCCGGCCTCGACGGCTTCGTCTCTTTCAAATGTTTATTTATCGCTCCTCTTCATAGCTTCGCAAATTCGAAAGTTTGTTAATGATTGCTTGTAGCTCGCGCAGTTCCACGCTGGCGTACCTGCTCGAGAGTCTCCGAAGAGAGCCGTCTTTTGACTACTTGTAAACCCTCTGCCTTCCCAGCACTATTGTACAGATGTTCAATGAGCCGGTTGTGTTCTTCGTCAATGTTGTCGATAACGGAATCTTCCCATTCACTGGCAAGGGAAGCGAAGTGGTTCTACTTGATGAAGGTCTTGGAGCTCCGTTTCCTAAACTTCATAGTTCTCTCTCCACGCACTAAGAAGCAGAATCTAGCGCAGAGGAGATGATGGTCCGATCCCGTGTAGAACTCCGCGATAGTCATGCACAATCTCCGATCGAAGATGATGTGGTCTATATTATGGAACTATCCATCAGGTGGCTCCCATGTCTATCGCAAATGAGAGAGCTTCTGGAACTGCGATTTACCATGGATGGTGTGGGTCGACAAGATAAACTCGAACAACCCTTCGCCCTCCTCATTCCATTCCATTCAAGAGCCCCGATGTAGTCTCTACAGCTGTTCCTCTTGGGCTCTTCTGTTCCGCTCTCGAGAAAACCATGCGTCACATGAAATGAAAAGGCATGGGAGTGAAGGTCTTTGGCTGCTTCTTACTTTTCTACACTGCGGTCCTTTCCGCTTCGACGTACGCCTCAGAGACTTGGACTCCACGACAGCAGTATGAGCATGCGGTTAGCGTCATTCAACGCGCTTTGGGAAGAACGATGCTCGGAATTTCCCTATACATGCAATTGAGAAGGGAATCCAGAGTTCCGAGCTCCGTCATCGAACGAAGATCAGGGATGCGTTTGATTACGTCAAGAAATCTAAGACCAGGTGGGCCGGACACGTTATGCGATATGGTGGTCACCGTTCGACCAGAGCGGTTACTGTCTGGATCCCTCGCGCCATCAAACGAACTCCAGGGTGGCCGCCAACGAGATGGTCAGACTTCTTCACGAAAGCTCTGAACGAAAGGAATGTTGAACCTCGTGTCCCTGAAGCGAAGACGATTCACTGGACCACTTTGGCTTGTGACAGGGTTGAATGAAGACAATACTGGAGCTCTCTCGAAGAAGTCGATGGTCAACGGGACGACAGGTGATACAGGTGATAACTCTCTGACTGTATTCTAATTTGCTATCGATCTATCACAGCTAGAGATCTGTATTTCGAGTTATGCTCGGTTTTTGGCTTTCCGAACTTCCAAAGACGTTGCCTTCCATAGAATTTTGCAAATTAATTGATTACTTGAGTCTTCTATCCATCTACCGTCCACCAAATCAAATCGGAGGTTCTTGCAAGATCCCAGAACTTTTCGGCTGTACAGAATCAACTACAATGCCCCGCGGCAGCGATTTTTCGGACTGTATATGATGCCAAGAGGGCCCTTAATACTATCAATTCGTTCAACCACTGAATTTCTTTCAACACAAGCTTCTTCGTTTTCAGAACGACGCCAGCCTTCAAAAATCGGATGCACTTTTCCAGAACGGAACTGATACAACAGTGTTCCTTAGAATCTTTACCAATTCGCCCCATTGTTTCGAGGATAACAGAAGGCCGACACTCCCAGGGTCTTCCCCGGTGAACATCATGGTAGTGTAATACACATTGAATTCAGTGTTTTTACTAGCTCTTCCGTTCTTGCTGGAATGAATAGTTCCATGATACCCTAAGCATTGCAGGAAACCCTACGATCATGATCTGGCCTCTTTTATCCTCGATGGTAGATAGCATTCCGCACTACTCCCGCCGTTCACATTCCTAAATGAGTATACCGCATTAAAGCTCAGCAGAAACTCCCTTACGTACTCAACTGAATGACTATATCACTGTTGTGACTGCTTTTATTGCAGATGACGCCCAAGCTATTTGTCCGCATTGCCACTTCAGCCCGCGCACTTCTAGGATTTCATTTTCATACGGTCGAAAACCAAATCTTTAATGGAAAGGCTCGTTACGAGGCGATAACAACCAGATTAAGAAATTTTGCATTATTGATAGTTGCAGATTTCTTCTGATAATGCGAAATGCCGCCATTACAGCACAGAACCGGAAGTGAGCGGAGTGGGAGTGGACAAGGGCCAGTCAGAGAGCACCGTACGAGTTTTTCAAGCGGATTAGATCAATCAGTCGACGACCCCCGAGTCACTGAACACTTTGTTGTCGACGACCGCGGTCAGACTGGCCCATATCCGCTACCGAGAAATGTTGCGCTGCGGACTCGTCGTCTTGTCAGGTGACCTAGTTATGCACTTTTTTCTACCGAAATCTTCATGAGTTTTTCGTGTCTAGCGCATTACGTCATCAGTAGGTACACATTCCGCTTATGGGGCTGCTTTACTGCAACAAACACTTTTATAGACTCCGATAATCTTTTCTGTTCCCAGTTCAGTTTACAACATTTGAAATAAGTTTTTTTTTTTGCATTGTTTCCGGGATCCTTATCAGTATTATGACACTCTTCATCAATCCTACCGTGCACTCCAATCAAAAGTTTCGAAATCTATTTTAAAAACAAGAAGTCGTTCCATGCATATTGAGTACGTAATGTTGATTACTGCCCTTTCATTTTGATAAAACATCAATAGGATAGACTATGATTCTGTGTTCTAACGATGCGTCTGTTAGGTATTACTCTGATTCAAAGAGTGCTACTCAACTACTTGCTTCCAGTTGTACTTCTCAGTAATTGCGTTACTATACAACGTTCGAAACGACAAACATACAAATATGATGACGCCTTCATGGCATATGCGAATCCGCATCCTAACACAAAGGTGAAGCAGGGCTTCTTAACGCGATACGCACCACAGGATTGGCCGAAGTGGTGAGTGCGACAGTCCTATACGATCAGCGTACGATCCCTAATCTTCTGAAAATGACAGTTCCTTTGTCATTCACCATCTTTTTTACTTTTCGATTAGTAATGAAGTCGGAGGCAGCGGCAGCAAGGTAACTCAGTATACACTAAAATATTTCTACTCAAAACACTTCTTCATCACATTTCTTAGTGTTCCTGACATGTTCATGGGATGCTCAACATTTCTACTCCACTGATCTCATTGATTTTCCTCTTCTAGTGGTATCTTTCTTTGACTGTCCGATTTCCCACCTTTGCAATAATGAAAGGAACAAAGCCTATTCAGCTCTCTGATTCAGCCAGGATGCCATAATTTACGCATGTTGGAGAATCTTCAACATTGATAATTCGCATGACCACGATTGTGTTTTTTCAAGGCTATTTCACTTACATGCTCTGCGATGAATTAAGAAAGTCTTTCAATTTTTGCAAACCTCTGTCTACCTAACTTTCGGAGCACAAATAAGGTTGGAAAATATTCAATGAACTGAACACTCTCTCTAAGATGAATGCTATCTATTTCCTTCAAAAGGCACCAAAACATTACCTGACAGTACACTCCAGTGCATATATTATGATGAGCTGATGTAATCCAACATAAGTTTTCCTTTTGCAATTATTCATATGTATACATTGATCATTTGAAAGTCACGCAGTCGTACCAAGTAAGTCCATTCGTTGGTCAATAAGACAATATCTTTAGATAGATAAATAGACAGAATAAATAACTAGTTGGGTGATCGAGTGAATGGGAAGGGGAGAGAAGCGGTGCTTAAGGTGTTAATTCGAAGTGAGATTTGTTGATCGATTCCATATCACTGATTCGAACTAAAACAACTAGGTTTTGGAAGTTTACGTCACACTTCACATGAAAAAATGAGATCTTCTCCTGCTCTTTGGGACGATATTGGGAACCTATATAAAGTGAGGATTCTAGGGAGGTAACTATTTTTTAACCAGTGGCTGTTCACAAAAAATTCAGTATTACTGTTCGGAGAGGTGCTTAACTTCTTGCTGTACATCGAGAATCTTAACTGGAAATGCGAGAAAATGTATGCCCTTTGTATGAACATGCCGGTACCGGGTTTTGAAGCGGTTAATGGCTTTTTCTCTTGAACTAGGGCGTACAATTTGCACAGCATAAAGAAGTCTCTTTCCCCAAGCACAGGCATACATATCATTCATCGAGAATAGAATTCAGTTCATATTCGCCATTTTCAGATTGGAAAAGCCGCTCATCTTGAAATTCATGCATGGTCAAATTCCATTTTTTTTTTTNTCGCCATTTTCAGATTGGAAAAGCCGCTCATCTTGAAATTCATGCATGGTCAAATTCCATTTTTTTTTTTGAATCGTGGTCGAAACGATCAGTGCAACCTGAAGGTCGCGACAGTCTATTTCTCTTTCGATTTTAGCATATGTTAGCTACTTCAGAACTCAGCTTTGCGCAGTGGTGATAACGTTGCCAATAAGGCTTTTCCGAGATGCGTTTATGGCTGGCTGGTAGAACTCACGGAGTAATTTCAATCGAAGCGAATGCCTCCTGCTCATGACGATGGCGAGCGTCGTTGTTAATGACGTGCCCTCAGCAATTTTGATGAACGGATTATTTCAAAGTTGAACTTTTCAAGATTTTCAATGCGCAGCTTTGTAGAGCTCGAAGAGTTGAGTCGAACTATGTAACATACTATACGGAAAAAAGTGAACATCAGCTCAGTTATGAAGAAAACACGAAAACCTTCATGATTCCTCGAATAATTAGGGGGGGGGGGGGGGGGGGGGGGGGGNGGGGTACTGCAGTGTATTTAGGCACAGGTCCCTCAATTATTGTACCGAGCCCCCTCCCCCTGTCTTCCCTCAGCTTGAGCGGAGCATGTAGCTTAAATGTCTCCCGGAAGTTCAAGCTGCCAACAATTGATCAGCTGTTTTCAGAGCTGTGCATCGTTCTTTGAGGTCATCGCGCCCTTTTCTTGGAGATATAATATCTTTGGTCACTAGTTCTTTCTGTCCCATAAACAATTCCGACGAACTTGGGGCATGTTTTCCCAGACACGAGAAAAGGGGAGATAGATTGTAAACATTCGATTTACCCCAGCAACCACTGATTGAGAGCAGATAAGGCCTTGAAGTTTCTCTCAGTTGCTGTCAAGCATTTTCCGTTCCGATATTTCCAACAAATGTTGTCTCTTGGCCATCGTAACCCGGTCGATGACTCTGCCAACGATTTTATCTGATATAGCCGTCGAAATATCTCCGACAGAAGCAAGCTTATTCAGGTACTCGCGAACTATGATGCAATGGGATGGTATATCCGTATTATCGCCCTATGATACCAACGATGTACGCTATCCAGCATGGCATGCCACGAGAATCAAAGGAGGTCGTTAGAGGTCGTCCAGTCGTCTTAGCAGGGTTACACTCGAAAGAAATTGCTGTGGAAATTTGTTACAGCGTTGTACATTATGTCTTCCAAAAGCGCGTTCGATCAGCTGTCATCATGCAACTGTTATCGCTTCTAAATTATAGACATTAATCATAAATTCTTAACAACTGAAATGTGAATATGACAGCAATGATGCCTAGAAGGTAGCAACGTCAAACAATCACCCCTTGTAATCAAATGTAGAGGAGTACTATGATCAAATTAGGATCAACGCATTAGGAGTTTAATCTTTTGTAAAAAAGGACTTCAACAGATATTTTGAAGACGTAATGAGATTACTTGTTGCTGAGCCCTTGGCGCAATCTTCCCTATTTACCGTGCGGAACAACCGAGCATACCATGAATAAAGGTCATCCTTACCTCTTAATTTCAACTAACGACTTGCAGTCCATTTTTATCCTTCTGACCTTTTGGCTCTGGCTTTTTGTTATATGGCTTTTTGTTACATGGCTATAGGGCTTCTTGTTATATCGACCCCCAGCTGTTCTACTTTTCGCAGCAGCTTGCGACGCGAATTCTGTCAGGAATACTGAGTTGTGAGCAAAGCGCTCAGTTTCGGAAAAGATTTCGGAAAAGACTTCGGAATAGACTTGGACCCGCATTTGAGCTCACCTGTCTCTCCTAAACTAAGCGGTTTGCCCATATCTCGCCTCTCGCTTCTCTTGTGAAAAGTTCCTCATGTAGCGTCAGGCTAGCAAAGCGCAACACTAACACTAAGGTGTGCATCAAATAAGTAAGGCTCAGCAGTAAAAACTACGGATCTAAAGATACAAGTTATCGATTATAGCAAGCAGTTATTTATGTTTAGTTGCATGTGAAATTAGATAACCCTGAATTTCATTCTTAGTATAAATCATTTTCCTCCTTCTGTCTTGTGAACAGTTTTTCGGTCATTAACAATTATTACTTTAATTAACATGAAGAAGAAAAGGTGTATCACTGACTAGTTCACTGATTGTTTCCGTCTTTCATACGGATTGCTGGAGTTCTAAATCCTCAAAATTTAGTAGTAACCGACTGAGACTGGATTCTTTTGTGGCACAGAGGCTAACGGCGGTGAGGAGTAATAGGGCTCTGAAACATATCCATTATCACCAGTGCACTGAAAGAATTAACCAGTGGCTTACCCCATGCGCTTGCTTGAGGAAAGATAGGTGGGAAGACTGGAGGCGGAGCAATGACAGGAGTTGGCCCTGACCAAATGTCGAAAAAAGGTGGATAGAAAGATCCACTTCGAACATTGACGGAGCCAGGGCTTAATGGAAATGGAAGGTGCTGCAATGAGGAACACGTTCGAAGTTTTACTTAGTTGTTGTAGGTGGGAGGAAGGTACACGACAGGTAGTGGAGGAAGATAGGATACTACTTGAGCAGGCGAACTTGGCGGATACGCAGCAACGGCTGAAAGCAATCCCAATACCACAAGATGCATTCTGAAATATCGAGCCATACTATTTTGAGTCTTGAACGGAGATCTAGCTTTTCGAAGGGTTCTATTAGACCTAATTATTACTTGAAACCAGTTTATGCAGGTCTGCTCACAAGGAAACAAAACTTAGTGGAGCAGAAGGCGACGATTCGTTTCCTGAGTTTCTCTTGGTCGTTTTATAGCAACTACTGTTGTCAATTCTGCCCTCGCAAAGGAGCCACGGAAACAACATTTGATTGGTCAACAACAACATAAATGGTCAAAAACAAAAAACGTTTAATTTCGAAAAGCGACCAAGTGATTGCTCGATGCAAGATTGCTCAGCAACATCAAATGCGGTACTTCCCTTCTGGTGACTAATTCATAGTTGTCTTCAACTCTTTCTCTGTGAAGCATTCTAGGCAATTGGTACTAGTTTGCCCAACAAGTCAAGCCGTTTCAATACTTGGTTTTTTCTTTGAATTAAGTGAAAGGCCCCTCTCCCCTCTTCGCCTCTCCCCGTTCCCCATCACCTCACCATTTCTCTTACGATTTCTGGTTTGATACTATTCATGAGCCAGTCTTTTTTCTACTGAACATAACCGCGTAAATACGCCCTCCCTGTGAATATCGTTGGAACTTAAAATATTTCAGGTCTTCGTAATATGAGAATATTCAGGAGGTCTACGTAATTTAATGCCCAATCGACGAGACCATGCCGTTACTCAAAAACCTATTTTCCAGTTTCCAGAGAAACACTAGATCAATCAATAATATGTTCACTTTCAAATACAACCCGTCTCGTTCCGAGCTCCTTCGGAGTTGTGAGCGCCTCTGCTGTTGAAATCTTCAAGGTTGACTGCCACTTCTTAGTGCACAACCATTTACTTCTGGTCTGAAAACAAATTTTCAAATGAATTAGAGCTTGTTTAACAGCACATTAGCGAAACCTTCAGAGGAGGCTGTACTAGGTTCATACATTGTTTACAGCAGGGTATCTCTTCCCCCAATGAAAAGCGGTGTTCATAATAGCTGTCGATTTGCCTGGGTTTTTCTAACCGAGTCACTACATTATAAAAGCTAAAGTGTAATTCTATGGAACAAATGCTTATTGAACCCGTTTAGTGCCACACGATACCGTAACCTGAGCTTCGAAAACTTCGAAAAAGAAAATTTCATTCGTGAAGAAAAACTATACTCGTGATGTATAAGTTCCTCACAAATTGCGCCTCACTTCATCAGACGCTTTTTAAATGCTGCAGTAGTAAGTTTCAGATAAGGATGAGTCTAGATACTTGTGGATTTCAGACTTTTGAAATAGCAAATGTCATTCTGAGATTGTTATATAAGCAGGCTTACCTATACACAGTACTACAATAGTGAGTGAAGATGAAACAGAATCATGTAAATGGTTTCTTCGATTGTTGACAAGGTAGTGAACCTCGAAATTACCTACACAATTTTTCGAGCATTAGGTTCTCGCTTTATTGGCTCGATGGATTATCATTTTCGCAGCCATTCCTTCTCATTTTTCAGATTTCAAAAGCCTTTGCGTTGGGAACTACAGCGCTTTCTTGAGCCCCAATTAGCCATTAAATAGCAGTTATATTGAAGCTACGTGTTTTCATTGTTTGTCGTCAGCCGGTGAACTGGGTCAACTAGACGCCCTCGATCCTCTGGTACAGCCCAGTCGTCGGTCGATATCCCATGGATGTTGTTCTGAATGTAATAGGTTGATGCATAATTATTGCAGATTATCTCGCGGCCTCTTTCCTTTCGATACAATTTCGATATTGAATTCACGATTTTATTCATAGGAAGAATCTTTTTGTTTTCCTTAGCAGAAGTATGTCTCGAAAGTCATCTCCATATAGCCAAATTATGCCCTATCACTTCGAGAAAGGTAAGAAGTTGGCACAGTCATAAAGTTATCTCAACTTCTTCTCTTCAACTTCTCGGCGATGGAACAGTCAGCCAAAGCCGAATAAAGAACTGAATACGCTTCTACGTTCGCCCTATTCACCAACAGAAACTCCTATTCACCAACTGGAATATCAAGTCAATCGTCCGTTGAAAACTTGGCTAGCGAACAGAAGTTACAAGGAGCTGGATGACTTGATGGCCGACGTCAAGGCGTGGATCGCCGCTAAGAATCGAAACTTCTTCGCCTGTGAAATCCGATTGCCCAGCAAATGGGAAGCAGTGTTTGACGGAGATAGTGGATATATTCGGAAGCAATTATTTGAGCATGTCTTTGTTAAATATTGCCATCGTTTCTTCAAGTAAAATTTGCTGAAAAATTCCGCAATATTTATGCAACAACTTAATATTAGAACGTTACGTGTACCTGTGTTACTTTGCTCATTTATTATGTTGACTTCATTTTTAGGTAGGTTCTTTGGCGGTTTTTTGACAGTTTATTCGGCCCTGGTCATCTGCATTTTGTGTGCTTCTTTTTGAAGATTACCGGATTACTATTTCAATTTTCGTGTTCTCTGTGGTTTCCTTTTGAGATTTCCCATATTCGTAACCTTTTTCCATTGCTGGTCCTTATTCCATTATTGCTTGCAACGCTATGAGACATCACAGATCAACTAGGATACAACTAGGAAGCAGGCTTTAACGCAAGGGACGTTGGCGGCGTTACGGACACTGATGTAACCCACGATCTGTCGGCGCTTGACGTTTATGCTACGATAGCGTGATCGCAGTCGACATTTCGTGAAAACTTTCCTTGAAATGTTTTTCAACAATTCGTTTTGACTTGATGGTTTGTTAACTGCTGTTATTTCGCTACAGAATGATACGAAAGTCTGACGCTTGTTTTGTCTTCGCTTCGGCCCTCATATTGTTCTTAATAATTTGCTGCCAAACTTTTGTTATATAAAGATGACACAAGCCTGACGAAAATTCGAGCTAGTAATGATCGTTTACAGCTACCTGTAAAAATAACGATGTACATTGTTTTCAAAAGACACACAGAGTTCCATGAATCAATCAGTCTCCATCCGACAATAACATATTCCCATCAACAAGGTTTGCAAGTAAACAGCGAATTACTTCCAGATCGGTCTTTTGTTGTAGACTTTGTTAATAAAAATGTTCTACTGTCGATGTGGCTGGTCGAATCATGAAACTCCGCGCGATTCGGTTTTTAACGTTGTGTTCGAAAAACTCTTGACGGGAACTTCGAGATCTAGAACGTTATGCGAAATAGTAGATGAAGTGTTCATTCAGAAGAATACTGAGCAAAGACAAGACATAAGAACATGTTCGTGATTTGAGACAACACGTCAACTAATCGGCACTGATCAATAGTGATTTGATGAATGGAAGAAAAGTGCCGAACCCTCTTACATCGATTCCTATAGCGTTCAAGGCTGAGGTAATGAAAATCATTTGTAGCTAGATAATGACCGACTTACCGATCGATATCGATCATTCGGATGCAACTTATTTGATAAGAGGAGCATTTATTTTCCACCACACGATATCTATTTAAGAAACAGATCGATTTGCAAAATCCTCTATATCCTCT